CTCTCTCTCTCTCTCTCTCTCTCTCTCTCTCTCTCTCTCTCTCTCTCTCTCTCTCTCTCTCTCTCTCTCTCTCTCTCTCTCTCTCTCTCTCTCTCTCTCTCTCTCTCTCTCTCTCTCTCTCTCTCGAGTGCTTCACAGGCTCCTTCTCGCCCTCACGCTGCCCCTCTGCTCATCCGTCTACGCGCCGGGCATCCCCGCCTTCGCCCCTTCTTTGCCTCGCCACAGCCCTGCAAATCTCACTTGGGACAGTTGCAGACCCCCAACAGCAAGGTGGACCTGACGGATGACGTTGTCCAAGCCACACATGTTTACACTATAAAAGCTTTAGCTTTGATGCCAGAGGGCACAGGATTGGCACAGGATTGGGGGTCTCGATACTGACCATCGCGCCCTCACCCAACACCGAACAAAACGCCAACGCCAAAGCCTTTTCAAGCTCCGAGCCGGTCGGTGATGTGCTGGATACTCGACTGTACGTAACATTAAAGTTTGTTGCCACCATGTTCTGACCTCTTGCTGCTGAGTGTAGGAAAGGACCCAAGAGCTGGGAAGGGCATGACGAGCAAGTCAGTGTGTTGGGGCTGTTGGCAAGTCTTGGCACTGTTCCATTTTTTTTTTCCTATCACCCTCTTGCAGTGTGCTGCCAACCCAACACTCTCCTATGCTCGCCTGCTGATTCAGAACAAGATGAGGATGCAGGCACAGCGGAGACATGACCGCGTTTTTAATAACAACATGAATTAACCATGAAAGCGTGCATAGGACGATTAGAAAGGACGTCGCGACTTGAGCTCGGCCACAAAGTCAGCCAGCGCCTGATTTTGTAACAAGGCCTTGACGTGCGCCCGGTGCAAGGCCAGCGCTTTGCGAAGGTCGGCCGAATCTGCGCCAAAACATGCCCGCAAACTCTCTTCATATACTGGGATAGCGGAGCGAGACATCAAGAGGAGAAAAAAAGAGGGGGTCAAACATGGTCAGCACGCATGCGCGGAATAAGACTCGGTCAAGCTTGGCCGATACATACAATCACTGTAAACGGCGCGTGACACGCTACGCTGAAGAGGCGAGCCGGTCAGAAGTGGAATGGCATCGGGATTGAGGTGCTTGACCTTGAGATGCACAACATCGTCCGTGTTGGTCGCCTCACCATCCAGCCACAGCGTGAAGACCATTCGCCTTTGCACCGCAGGTATCACTGTGTTTGGCCCGCATCCCAACAATGAGCATGGTGACCATCACAGAAGAGCGTGCGCGCGCACGCTCTGGAGAAAAAGGTTGCGGAATCCGACACCTCGCCTCCAGCAGCCATGAACAAACAGAAACGGCGCAAGACGAGTCGTACCCTTGTGCAAAAGCTCATCAGCTAAAAACAGAAGGACGCGGTTCATGCGAGGCTCGATGCGTGTTGGTTCACCCAAAAACGGGAGCAGCTCTAGCTCACCACCATCCCCTACGCGAAGATGTGCAAGACACGCAAGGCGCTTGATTCAGAAGTGACGCCTGTGTGTATACAAACACGTATAGCGACGCCCCTCTTGAAAAGACCTGTTTAAAGAAACATGGCAAGACAGCCGCGGCGCGGGACGGAGGAAGGTGGCCAACAAACCAGGAGCCCAGTCAGGGTTGAGGTAGGTTAAGATGGTCAAGCGGCGTGCATTGGGCCGACTTGGGTTGTCATAATGCCAGGGAAACGCACCGCCCCCTAGTTGCGTGTGTCCAAAAAAAAAAAAAAACGGGCGGCACTGATTAGCTGTGGGCTAGGCCAGACCAGGCAAAAGTCAACTGCGTGTTGTTTTTGTTTTTTTCTTCGCTTGTCTGCCAGGCGCACGCACCTTCGTTAAACTGGAGTTTGACAGTGCGAGATTGGCGACCGGCGGGCACAAGCTTGAGGGCGGGCAAGCGTTGCGCCAACGCCGTTTGGAAGGCATCGGCATTATCTAGAAAATCGGCAAAGAGGGGGCACAAGGCCTGGGCCGTCTTGTCATGCATGTCCGCTTCAAACACGTGTGGCTTGGTCAAAACCAAGGGGCCCTAGTCATCATTGACCCACGGCAAAAGGTTCGAGTGAGCTGCCGAGGCTCAAGACGACGCGCGCGCATGTCAAAGGATATGCAGCGCGGTCGTGTTACGGGAAAGACAAAACAGCCAGGGTTTGGAGCAAGAGAGACAAGAAGGTGTTGGCACGTGTTCTTTGGGGGCGTACAGCAGAAGTTGCGAGCGAGACGCGGTTGGGGGCGAGGCCGTCGACCTTGTGGAGGGCCAAAATCGCATCGCGCATGGCTTGCGCGTATTCAGCAGGCCAAAAATCGTCGATAATCACGTAGCCATTGTTCTGCAAAGCGTCCACCCGGGCCGCCGTCAACTGCGCCTCGACCAGCTCAGCCGTGGCCATCCTGGTCCATCGACTGCTCCCAAAATTGCCGCGAGCACGAGCCGAGCCAGCACCAGCACGGAGTAAGCCACATGCGCGCAACGCGCTCATACCAGAGCAGCAACTGCTGTCCACCACCACGAACGCGTTTCCCCTGACCCACCACCGTACCACTCACTCGTCTCCGTAATGTGTCGCCCTCGCCCTCGCCCTCGTTCTCTATCGTCCGCCTCGTGTTCGTTGCTCGTGTTCGTTGATATGATCTCTAGAGCAGACCTCACATACGCGAAAGACGAAAAAGAGAGAGAGAGAGAAGAGAGAGAGAGACAGAGAGAGAGAAGAGAGAGACAGAGAGAGAGAGAGAGAGAGAGAGAGAGAGAGAGAGACAGACAGACAGACAGACAGACAGACAGACAGACAGACAGACAGACAGACAGACAGAGAATCACAGAGAGAGAGAGAGACAGACAGACAGACAGACAGACAGACAGAGACAGAGACAGAGACAGAGACAGCATCATAGAGAGAGAGAGAATCACAGAGGAGAGAGAGAGAGAGAGAGAGAGAGAGAGAGAGAGACACACACACACACAGAGGCACAAAGAGAGCGAAACGATACAACTACCACTTGTAAGAGAGAGAAAAAGAGAGAGAGAGGTTTGAGAGCTGAAGGAAGACACATGGGGTTAGGGGTAGCTGATTCGTTTTATATCGCTGTTATGGATGAATGTCGACCTGAATGGAATGGTGATGCATCAACCCCAGGATGGCAGTACACCATTGCACCAGGCCTGCCAACACGGATATGTGGAGGTGGTGTGGATGCTGTTGAAGCACGGCGCTGATGCTAAAGCCAGAGGCCACTGCCAATGATTTATCTCAAACATAGTCTTATCCTAATCTGGTGCCACCATGATGTTGGTGCACCAATCGACAGCTTGGCAGTGCACCGCTCCACTATGCCTGCCAAAACGGTCGTATCAAGGTGGTGGAGATGCTGTAAAAGCACGGCGTGGCTGCCAAAGCCACGAACAGCGTCAGTCTTTTTCCCGCCCTGACTGTAATGTCACACGAGCGGTATGAGCCCAACGGTGCCGTTATCTTGCTGCAGACACGTGATTACATTGTTTGACGACACTTGTTGAATCTGCCCAGAGATGGCGCATCATCATGTGTACCTTGAGAGATAATCTCACTTCACTTGATACTCACTGCTTGTGTGCCACCAGTGGCCATGAGCGACGCGCAGCTCTGCGTTAGCGGCATTGACGACCTCGGCATCAAAATTATCAGAAAATCGAGCCAAAATCAAGCAAAATCTCAAACACATACCACATCTCTATCAAACTCTAAAGTAATTCACACTTTATTAACAGCAAGATAAACAACCCCCCTCAAAGTTATATTAAAAGTGTGTCAATGTTATGCTTCTGGTCCTACTGGCGCGCGCCCTCCATCCGCAGCAAGAAGACGATAGTGCAGATGGCAGCGGCAGTGCTGGTAGTGGCGGTGGCAGTGGGAACGCCTGGCCACGGGATGCGCAGTCCGGTTGACGATCTTTGCATGGCTGTTGGAGCGCCTGGGTGTGCGAAGAGAAGAGCAACACGCCTGGGCTATTTGAACCACTGACTTGTGCCTTGATGACGACGAAAACGAGCTCATTCGCAATTCCTTTTATTGTTTGTTGTTGTTGTTGCTCCGCCTCCTCTTGTTTTATTCAAATCGAGAATCTCTGGTTTCCGCAGGGAATCTTCATTTTGATGGTTTGTAAGATTCACAGCATCTCTTGTGTGCTGATCTTCTCTCTCTGTCTCTCTCTGTCTCTCTCTCTCGGTGTTGCACTTGGCGCCACTTTTTATGGGTTAAACACGTCGTTCAAGTGTGAGAAACTCAAGGCCGTCTCCACGACAACACGACAGACAGGTGTGGTGGCATTTCCGGGCCACTGTCGTCTGCAAATGGCAGCCGGGATACGAGGATAGCCCTGCCCCATCAACGCTGGCGAGCTGGCTGCCTCAAAACGTCACAGGACACGTGATCTTCTGCCGTTCAAGGCCTTGAACCCGCCCCCTGGATTCCCGACTTGATCCAACTCTGCGAGGTGCGACCGTGCTTCAAGTCGTAGCCGTGCGCGCCGTGCACACTGGTGAGTAAAAAGAAGGAGACGGAGGAGAAGGAGAGAGGAGGAGAGAGGAGGAGGAGGTGGTGGTGGTGGGAGAGTGAGACGGAAAGATGCATTTGAGGGGGCCAGAGTGCACCGCCGGGACTTTGCCCATTGACCATCGCCTCGTGGCCCAGGATCAGCTAGCTAATAATTGGACCTGTGCGGCTTGATGATACAGGCTCACAGACGGAGAGGACGTGTGTGTGTGGGTGCAAGTGCAGATACATTTTAGACTGCCGTTTGCTCTTTCAGTGACGCGCTTGCGCGATTCACAGATCTCCACAGGGGTTTGGGCCTCAAGGATCGGCACCAAACGTCGACGGTTCGGTGCAAAGTCGCCGTCTGTGTGAATTGTTACGTTGTGTCGACTCTTCCTTGCCCCCGCCTTGGCGCCTGGAGACAGGTCCCATCCTGTTGTGCGCGCGTGCGCGCCGGCCATTGCGCGCTTCTGCTGCATCCACCGGCTGGCTCCGCCGAGCCCGAATGCACCACCATGGCCGATCGACCCGTCTCGCCCCGCTCTCGCCGGCGCAAGGCGCGCAACTCGGCCGCCCAAGAAAGCGAGCTGTCCATGTTTGCAGGTCAATCCCGCGTCAAAGCTTTGGACAAACCCGACCTCCTTCTCAGCCCATAGATCTCACCATCCATCCTTTTCTGTTTGGGCACTCAGACGAGGCCGCTTCCTCCTCGGGTACCCCTGTCCCCCTCGATGAGAAGAAACCCCTTCACGATTGGGATGTGCGTGTAACACGGCACCCCTCCCCTGATCTTCTGGGCACCTCGCTTATGAGTTTGGTATTCTACTTTTTTTTTTTTTTTTTTTTTTTTTTTTTTTGGCCTCGCCTTCCTCGCCGACCTTGTTTGCTTGCGCACGCGCCATGCAGCCCTCAACAGCACAGCCGATGACCCATCTATGGACTCGAATTGACGGCGGCAAGCTCCTGCGCCGGCGTCGAGGTGAGCTGCCGCCCCCCCTCTTTTGCTTCTGGCCACTTGCCCTGGCCGTCTGGTTCCGGCCCGTTGCGCGCCCAGGCGATCCTGCCTGCATTCAATCTCCCGTCTCCAATCCATCATCGCAGGCTATTCGTGTTCGGTGTGCCGCCTCTGGGTTGATGATGGCCAGGACATGTCGCGATATCGCGCTTGCCGTCCTACTTTCACACGCGATGCACACCTAATCGACGAGGAATCGGTATTGATTCGCACTCCCACGCCACCCCGACCACTGCCGTTAGGCTTGTCGCGCACATGAACGTCACAGTTACCTGCACCTGCATCATTGTTTGGTTTTCTCTTTGCAGTCCACCAGCAAACACCATTGGATCTCGGGCGTTTTTGACAAGAGCAAAGTCTGCTTTCGGTGCACGCGTCCGGTAAGACTTGCTTCTCCGCCCCTCCGCGACTTCTTCTCAGCATGGAGCATTGCACTCAGTCTCCTTCCCTACCTCTGAATACGATCTTATCCATCTGCATGTCAGCTCGGTGTCAAAGCGCTTAGCTTGCAGGCACGCGCCTATCGCTGCTCGCTGTGCAAACGCTACATTCATCTGGATTGCCTCAAGAACCAGTTTGATGTGTGGGGCACCTGCGATCTTGGCGAGTTTGCTCCCATCACCTTGGGCCCTGAGGAGATTTGTCTTCAGCCTCTCCTCTCCGATGTTGTCAAACCGGGTGTTGCCGGCGTGTGCTTGACGGCCGACGACATTGACATGATTACAAGCTCGGGCCACAGCGGGTAAGCGTTCCCTACACCATGCCTCCACCCAGTTCTACGCAGCAGTTTTGCTGTCGTTGGCGCAGCTCTTTCCGGACACAAGACAGTGTTTCGTACTTAGCTCAGCTTCCCTGGCTCGCAGACTTCGCAAAGCCAGTCTGGATGCCAACCTCCAACATCGTGCATCCACCGGTTACTTGTTTGGTACGTCTCCACCATCTCGTTCCATAGCGGCGGGGCAGCCAGAGCTGATTTGCGCATTGTGCTTCCGTGCCCGTTAGAGCGCACTAGCCCCATGGGTCGAGGGTCAGATTTTGAGCTCGGTCGACGCGTCTCGCCCATTCGCTCGCGCCAGGAATCAGACGGCTCACTCACGGCACCGGACGACGAGGATGCTGTGTTTGCGGGCTTCAACGTGAACCGCCTCTCCGACTCTCAACAGTCAGTGCCTGGTCACGTGAAGCGTATCAAAAGCCTCCTGTTGTTTGCTCAAGCCACTGCCGCCATCATTGACACCGGCCCCTGCATTTGCCGCCCCACCCCACCCTCTGCTGCAGACAAGAGTTTCGGGCGAGCATGCGCCGTGCTTCAGCCCGCAAGGCCACAGCACATCGCAGGGCACACATGCAGGCGGCTCGCGCCTTGGAAGCGGCAGATCGTGCAGACTACCAGTTTCACATTCAGCCTCGGCCGGTTGGTTCATCTCTCCTGGCCGCCTGTTCTTGCATATACCCACGGCCACTTTTCACCATGATTATCCGTCCCTCTACGTCTCTCTTCTCCAGGAAACGTTCCCTCTTCTGGTCCTGGTCAACCCCAAATCTGGCGGTAATCAGGGTGCCAAGCTTTTGCATTCCTTTCTCTACTACCTCAATCCTCGACAGGTGTACAACCTCATGGCCACAGATCCCGATACTGGCAAGGTGCAGGGGCCCGGGCCGGCGTTGGACCGCTTCAAGGTGGGCCCTGGGCAGTGTAGCCTCGTGACGTGATTGGAAATAGCTGCTGCCCCGTCCCCCTTGCCTCAATTATCTTGAGCAGGCGGCACTGAACAGTCTCACCATTGGTTGCATCTTAGAACGTTCCCAATTTGCGGATCCTAGTGTGCGGCGGTGACGGCACCGTGGGCTGGGTTTTGGCTGAACTTGACGCAAGGGGCATGGACAAAGACAGTGAGTTGGAGCAGATCGATATCAGATCCCCTGGCTTGGCCAACTTCCTTTCTGGCTCTCATGTGAGGTTTCACATCGTGTGTTACACCTGCGCGCAGAAATTGGGGTCGGAACTATTCCCTTGGGCACGGGCAACGACCTCGCTCGTTTTCTCAAGATGGGCGGCGGATATGAGGGGGAGTCAACCAAGAAGCTGCTTCACTGGATCATGGGCTCACTTGTCATGCAGCTGGACCGATGGTCCTTGACCTATCGACTGCGCGATCCTGCCCCAACAGCGGGCCTCAGTGACATACCGGTCGCCGTGGAGCTCCCGCTGATCGTTGTCAATAATTACTTTAGTTTTGGCTCGGATGCTTTTGCCACCCTCAGCTTCCATTTGGCCCGGGAACGCGACCCGGCCAAGTTCAATTCACGCATTCACAACAAAGCCTACTATGGCTTTCAAGGGGCCAAGGACATTTTCCGGCATCGCTACAAGGATCTCTGCGAGACTTTGGAACTGGAGGTGCGCCCACTGTGTTGTGGGATTCAAAGGCTGCCAGCTTTTCTCGCTTGCCCTCAGGCCGATAAGATACCCCAACTTGTGCTTACATTGCTCACCTGTTGCGCAATTAGTTTGACGGGCGTGACGTGACCCAAACCGTTCGGCGACAGGCCTTTGAAGCCATTGCCTTTCTCAACATTGCTTCCTACGCAGCCGGCACGCGACCGTGGGGCACCAAAAATGCCGTCGATGGATTTGACGCACCCAGTTCCGAAGACCAGAAGCTTGAGGTTGTTGGCTTTCAATCAGCGCTGGCCTTGGCCAAGGGCGTCATGCGCATTGGGCATGCAGCCCGTCTTGCCCAATGCCGGAGCGCAAAAATCACGTTTCACGTCGAGACACCCGTTCAGGTATGTATCATCGATGAGCCGTGGTCAGAGCACACGTCAGACCAATGAAACCCAACTTGCCACCAGGCTGGAAATATTGCGGCGCATCCAACCCCGTTTCTCAACTCTGCGTTGCCATCAACACTCAGGTGGACGGTGAGCCCGTCATGTTGGCGCCGGGCGAGGTTGTCATTTCTTTTAAAAATCAAGCCACACTGCTGTGCCGGTGAGTTGTGATGCCGTTCGCCTTGGCCCACCCCGCATATTTTGACTCGGTGCCTTGCTAATACTTTATGTCTGCCTGTGGACCAAATTGTGTGATAGGCCCAAGGGCCGCTTTCGTCGTGACTTTCAAGAAGGCTCGCGGCCGGCAGCGTTCCCCTTGACCAACGCGGTCGAGGCCGAGGTGGCGGAAGATCGTCGGCGCGAGTCTGATGAGGAGGATGACGACATGGATAGTGATGGTGACACGGAGCAGGTCGTTGCCGTGGCGGGGGCTGCCAGTCCTTCTCTCATTGTGCGCGACGTCGAGGCTGCCGAGGCCGCCGCGGAGAGTGACAACATGTCTGGTTTGGCTGGTATGTTGTTCAAGCTGGTGTTTTTTTTTGACTTGTGTTCACTTGATTCCGACATTTCCGTTTTTTTTTGTTTGATTTCTTTTTCTCATGCGAGTGCATGTTTCACACGCGCCCCCCCAACCATTGTGTTCCATAGACAATGCGGCCATGGCTGAGGTGGAGGCGCTGATGGAAGGCGAAATTGAAACACATCGCCACCAGCCCGATCACCTCTTGCCACCGGAGCCGGCTCACCGTGTAATACTGCCCGTCTTTCTGGTATGATTCGCGATGGAGCACGCAACGCCAGCAATCTGCTCGCGGCTGGTGGAGAATTCACAACTCCGCCGTGTTCTTGCTGGATGCAACAGGTTCCTTTGGATTCAAGCTCGGGGCGCTCGCGTCACCCAGTGCTGATTGGCACCATCAGTGTGGGCACTCGGCTTTTGCTCGAAGACTTGCGCATTGAGTTGGCGCAGCACCTGAATCTTCCCTTTACTCGTTCGATGGGGTGGCGCTTTCTTCGTTTCATCTCCAACGAGCATGGCGAGGGCAGTTATGTCTCGGTAAGCTGTGTGAGAGAGTATCATCGCATTGTCGTGGCAAAAGCACGAGGCGGCCGTGACCACATGATCCCAATTTGGCGCACGCGGTGCGGTGCATAGGTGCGACACCAAGAGGAAGCCGAGATGACAGTGGCTGATTTGGCCAATGGCAGTGATGATGCCCAGCAGATTGACATTTGTAACCGACAAAAGCCAGCCCCGGTGCGTATTTAGGCGTGTGCGGCGTGTCCTGCCATCGTACGCGGATAACCACACGGTTCTGTGTCTTCTCTTCGATTTATGTCTGATGGCGCTGGTGATGTAGGAGCTGGATGGGCTCTTCCAGGCAACCATAGCCGGTGATCTAGCAACGGCACGAAATATGGTGTCGGCCGACCCTCAACTCTTGAGTAGAACCGATGCCACGGGTGCGATAGTTGTGAAGCACAGGCTCGCTGTCAGCGTTTAACTCGTTTTTCTCGTTGCCCCCCAGCTCACGTGGTTTTCGTGCACATACAATGGCATGCAGGCACCACGGCCATTCATGTGGCGGCTCGCGAGAACCGCGCAGAAACGTTGCTGTTCTTTCTGGACCAGCAGGACGCACAGCTTGCGCAGTTGGTGGACGTGGCAGGGCGCACACCATTGCATTACGCCGCAGAGGCGGGTCATGAACAAGTGTGCACCGCTCTCTTGGCCCATGGCTGTCCCAGCAACATACTCGACCGAGCAGGGCAGACCCCACTTGATCTTGCGCGCCTGGCGAATCATCATCATCTCATTGCCCTTCTTGGTATGTTTCAAAGCTTGATTCTCACGTCAAGCTGTCGACGACTGTGCCCCGCCATCGGCAAATATTCACGCTGTTGGGTGTCTTGTAATGTGATCGACCGTGATGCAAATTTTAGGCGATGCAGAGGACCTGCCTGGCGCGGATGGCCAGTCATATGTTTGAGTCTGTTTTGAGTGTTTTCTTTTCCGTGTGATCCGCATCACAGAGTGTCTTATTTCGAGTGAATTTACTGGCGGCCACAAAAGTCAGCGGCAATGGTTCCCGCACGTACGGGCAAGGGATCATCTGACTTGGGATCTGACGCGAGGAATGGCGGTCTTTGTTTTGAGACTAATTGCGAGCACTAGCCTGGCGCGGGTACTGGTCGACGAATGCGGTGCTGTGAATCGCCGTACTGATCTTGTGAAATTTAGCACGTTGTGTGTTGGTGCCGCGAAGGTTTGTGCCTACCACAGCGTGTCCAGTGAAGGGTCAATCGCAAGTCATCAAAAAAAGCAGATTGAAGGCGGATCATAATTCCTGTACTCCTAGACAAACAAGTGGAAACGCAGTGGTTACCTTGGAGATTGCAGCCAGAGAGATCACACTCGCTGAGATCTGACCCAGCCAGGTTGCAAGAGCTGCAACAAATTTGCGATGAGATGATGGGCTGTCATCAAGCTTGATGGTGATTGGTGCGCGTGCGCGTATGCTAGTTAAGGATGGACCAAACAGACAGACCGAAGATTGCAATTGCGCAAGGAAGCGCCCTTGAAGCTGGCCACGCGCATGTTTGCGTCTTCAAAGTTGGAGTCTTCAAAGTCGCATCCTCGGCATGAGGCACCCTAAACCCAACCCAGTCGTGTGTTGCCAGTCAGTTCAACCACGCCTTGAGAGGGGGCGCGACACCCATGCCTAAATAAAGTAGGTAGCTTGATTGGGCACGAACCTCAAAACTACACCGTGGCAGGATTCGGGAGGGATCATGAAAGGTGCCGTTGATGACGGAAGCGTTGTCAAGGATGGTGCGGGAAAAGTTGCAGCCGCGCAAGTCACAGTTGTCCAATCGCGCGTTCTAGAAACAGCAGGGGTTGATATGCGATATTTGTTCAAGAGGCAAGGTGGCTGTGGGCGATGCTCAAATAAACACAAGCATAAAGACGGCCTTCTGCCGAGACAAGATCCAACCTTGAGGGATGCCCCTTCAAAGTTGCAGCCCTGAAGCTGAGAGTTGCTCAGGTCGCAATCATTGAGGTTGGCAAACCGAAAGTTGATGTTGCGCAAGTCCATCTGAGGCAGAAGGGAGCAGGCACAGACCGTAGGGGTGATGGGGGTGAGAAAAGTGAGGGCACCACTGTCTGGGGCAAGCATCAATGCTAAACATATTACGCCGGGAAGACATGGCGGGCAGCCAACCTTGGAAAGGTCAGAGCCTTCAAAGTTGAGGCCCTGGGCTCGCAGTGCTTCCTGAGAAGGGGCCACGAGCAGCATGCGTGCCTGGCAGTGCGAAACAGCTGTGAGGCAGAGCGGCATGCAGCGCAGTCGCGCTCCAAGACATGCGGGACCCGGCTTTCTGGCACCGACCAGTTCGCCGCGGCGAATCGGGGGCTGCTCCTGGTCCTGGATAGCCTCTTCGCGAGCCAGGGGTTCAAGAATATCAATGGCTGCCCAGAGACCAAAAAAGTGGGCTTCGGCGAGCACCCCTGCGTTCACAGGGCGCCGCAGGCAACATTGTTAAGAAGACGGCGTGCCTCGAGACTGGGGGCGAGGTCAGTTGGAGTCAAGCCCTACCGCGACGGCTCAGGCCGGGGTCGAGTGTGAGGACACCATCTCGCATAAAGCCCAGCAAGGGCTCAAAGTATCGGGGGTTACGGTCGAGCAGATGGCATCCATTGTCATCCATCGTGCTGCACATTGTCGGTTCGTGAGCGCGAGGCTCTGATGCTGGGGCATTCGCGAAAAACGAAGCAGGGACACGGGCGCGTGCGGTGTACGGTGTCCGGACCTTTCCCAGTGATCCGACAGAAACATGGTGGCCAGCATGGAGTCTTCCCAACGGGTGAGGGTCTCGAGGGTTGTTTGGAAGATGCGTCCTCCGACGTTAAGCTTGATCCATTGCTGACGGCCTGTACGGGAGCGTTTAAAGTCATGTTATATCGAATAGAAGTTGCACCGAAACATCAAACCATCCCGAGCGAAAGATGGCATACCTGCCGAGCTGGTGCGTGGGCCATCGGGCATGGCCACGGTGTTGCTGGCAAGCGAGTCGAGGGATGTGAGGGAGGTCCAGCGTCCGGCTTTGCGAAAACTTTCTCCCTCGGTGACGACAAGGGTGTCCTCGTCCCTGATTGAGGTAAGCATGTGCGAATGGATGAGCAGGGCGATCAAGTCGAGCCACGGAGAATGTGTGGCGGCACGAAAAGGGCACATGGGCATGTCGTTCAAGGACCGAAAAAAAACAAAAGCAATACAATCGTTCATGGCGGGTTCTGGCGAAGCATGGCGGGTCAGGGCACAAAGGCCGAGGCAGTCGAACCTGAGACAGGCAAGATCTTGAACGTGGGTACCATTGAGGAGGTAGATACGCTTGGCGTGGCATTGGAGCTGGCGCGAGGCAATGGCCAGGAGTTCGGGCAGGGTGTGGGGCAGGGGCACGAGGGCTGTGCGGTGGCGGTGGCGATTGAGGAGCAAGGAGACACGGGGAGCCACGGTGGGATTTGGCGTCAGGGCAGAGAGGGCAGGGGCATCGGCATCTGGTCGCTGAGAGTTGAGGCTGAGGTCAGAGTCTGCGGCGGCGTCGTTGTCTAAATGGGCAGACAGGCCGTAAATGTGGAGTACCTCCTGCACTTCGACCTGGGAAAGAGCGGCGGTAGGGGCTTCACAATCTGGTTCGGGGGTGGCGTTGGGCACCGAGTCGGAAGAAGGTGAGATCTCAGGGCCACTGTTGTCGTGCGGGCCGGCTGGCTCGAGGTCATGGTCATGTTGATCAGTGTCATGGGCCGTGGGGTGCTGGGGGGTGGGCGATGCGCGAGCAGGGGGCTCGGGGCGGCGGGTCTCATGCAGGGCATCGACATGGGCACCGGCTTTGGCAAGCGCATGGAGGAGGGAGGCCTCATGATCGGCTGGGGGTGGCGGAGATGAGGCTGTGGTCTGGGGCGGGGTGTGGGAAAGGGTTTGAACGTAGGCCAGAGCATCGTCGACGGTCATGTCACCGCACTTGACTTGACGGAAGACGCGCAGTTGTTCATCGTTGGTCAGATGTTTGACGGGGGCGTTGACGGGTGGTGGGCCCATGGGGTGCGAGCGCGTGGATGCATCCGGGGCGGTGGTTTTAGGTTTGGCCGCTGGTTTTGGAGGGACGGCGGGCGCTAGTGTTGGATTGCCCTGACCGGCGGTGGTGGCGGTATTGCTGGCAGAGTTGTTGATGTTGGTGTTGGTGTTGGCGTTGGTGGTCTTGGTGGTCTTGGTGGTGGTATGGCTTTCGGTGGCAGGGGTCGCGGTCTGGGCAGGTGGGGGAGGGGAGGCTGGGAGTTCGGGCTGAGAGTTGCTGCGGCCTCGGTTGACGGCCAGGACCTCGGCAACAGCATCGTCAACGGAGATGTTGCCGGCCTTGACGCGATTCATGACTTCAATCAGTTCCTCGCTGGAGAGGTGCAGCTCGCTGGCCTGCGCAGCGTCGGGCAGGGATGCGAGATGATGAGCGAGATCCCGAGGAGGCACCGTGGTTTGCGTTTAGAGCCGCGCGCCCAAGAGCCCACACATGGCGAGGGCCAGGCACCAAACAGCGACGCCAGTAGAAAGGCAAGGCTCGGGCTTACCTTGAGAGCGCCGAGCAGATCGCTGGGCACGAGCGCCGGTTGTGAGGGCTCTGGCGTTGCAGAGGCCACGGGGGGCGGTGCAGTGCCATGACGTCGGCGCAGCTCATCCAATGACGGCGGCACCTCGGGCTGGCGTGCAGCCATGGTCCAATCACCACAAACAGAAGGTCCTGGCAGCTCGCGTGCTCCCTCATCAATCCATCGACGGCACGGCACGGCTGGCTGCCACCTGGTGGAGCAGAGAGAGAGAGAGAACGAGAGAGAGAGAGAGAGAGAGAGAGAGAGAGAGAGAGAGAGAGAGAGAGAGAAAGTGAGAGAGAGAGCGAGAGAGAGTGAGTGAGTGAGAGAGAAAGTAAGTGTTAGAGACAGAGAGAGAGGGGATTTTCTAAGAGAGAGAGAATCAGAGAGGCATACCTTGAAGGCGACAGAGAGGAAGCGTTGCGAGCGAGGTAAAGAAGAGCTTGAGGAAGACGAGAGAAGAGAATAAGAGAGATGAAGGGATCCAGTGTTTCATTCAGAGAGTCGTAAAGAGATACACAGCCATTCAGAGCGAACGAGAGAGAACTGCTACGTCCTCTGCAAAGTTGTCCGCAGAATAGGATGTCATGCACTTTTTCTAGCTTGAGCTTTGTGCAGTTGGTTTGTGAGTTATTGAAGATTTAGTTGATTATGAACAGTACTCTGTAATAGGTTTGTGTTGGTAGTATGTGAGTTGGTGTCGGAAGCTTCATACGGTGCGAAGAAAATGGCCGTGTGAGCGACGACTTGAGCTCAGTCATATGGAGCCGGTCAGACCGCGTTGATGGTGCGGACCGCGAGCGTGCGGGCGAAACCTCGCGCGCATCATCCACAGGGGAGCGCTGCCGAAATCGGGGTCGACGCCAACCTTGGCCATGACAATTTTTATCTGACAAAGTGAGGGTAAAAAAACAATCGAGTTTAGAGGGTCTGAACGAATCTCAATCACTGGAAGACGGTCTTTTACTCGCTCCAGCCATTCAAATCCTCTCTCTACCTTCAAAGCTACAACGCCAAGAACCAAAGAGAGGGAATCCAGCTCAACTGGCCGCTACCACACGTACATGCCCCTCTGTACCAAACGCCCACTGACTGACTGATTGATGACAACACACACACACACACACACACACACACACACAGATGGTGAAAGGGGCGGAACCCACTGATTCAAGTGGTTGAAACGGCAGCGGGGGCGGGTGTCTGTGCTCGTCCCGGCTGCTGGTTCATCAGGGCAAGACATCACAAGGGGAGCAGCCGCGTTGGCGATCCATCGCTTCATCCATCTGCCATAGACGGGCCAGGCCGCCCGCACACAAAGGTGCTTCATCTGGCCCTTTGAACCATTGAGTGCTTAACTTGGAAGTCTTATCAACATCGAGCTCTTCTCTCTGAATTGCCTTACTTTTCCCAGCTTAAACTCTGTGGACAACCTCTCCTTCTCTCACACTCTCTGGCTCTTGTTTCTTTTGTTCAGCCCCCGAAATCTTTTGTTCCCCCTTGTTCCACCCCCGCTCCCTCCCCTCCCCCTCTCCTCTCTACCCTTCTCCCCACCTTCACCCCCATCTCTCCTTTCCCCTTCAACTCCCCACTACCCCCCACCCCCCGGCACCAACATCCCTCTGATAAAACCACCTCCCCCACCCCCTCCCTCTCACCCGTGCCGAGCCAGAACCAGCTGCCTCTCTCCCTGCCGGCACCAGCAGTTTTAGAGTGCCAAGGTAGACCTCCGCTCCGCTCCTCCGCTGCTTCCTCCGGCTGCCGCTGGCTCTGTCGCTGCGGTCATTGCGTTGCGTGCCCTTGATGATGAATGCAACTGACTCCCGAAACAAGTGACTCAAACTTGTGGCTGCCTTTGAATGCAATCATTGCGCCCGGGGACCACGTCGCTTTGCCTTGAGAGAGAGGGAGAGAGAGTGAGAGAGAGATCGTGACGATGCCACATCAGGCACTTTACTTCACCACCCGGTCACTGCCCTTTTTGTGCATCTGATGCGATCGCTTCACACACACTCACACTCACACACACACACGCACCAGTCGCCGTGCGGTGGGAGACTTGAACCCAGTGTCTTGTCGTGGACCCGTGTTGTATACCTGGTGCTGGTGCCTGTGTGGGCTGACGCGTCTGCCCGTCGGTGCTCTCCTGTCCTGTGTCCGGGCTTGAATGCATTTTTTTTTCTCTGCTTCGATCCATTGCGTCCGGCAGCTTCCTCTCCTTCCCACTCTACCTCCCTCCCTCTCTGGTTCGTCGTCGACGCATGGATGCCATCGGTTGATATCATGCACCGCCGTTTTTTTTTTGTCTTGTGTTTTTGTTGTTTCCGGTTGCTCGCTCGACCCGCACAACACAAGCGTTACCTCTGCCACTTTCCCACAAAGTCTTTGTGTTTCTCTCCTTCTCCGCGGTGGTGGTCGTTCATGGTCTCAAAGCACACCGGCGTCCTTGAGTCTCTTGTTGTTTTTTTTTCCCCACTTTTGCCAGACCTGTCCAGTGCTTCCTTTCTCCCCTCTTCTCATGCGACCTGCCACATTCCACCCTGACGTGCTGTTTATTCTTCTTGGCAGTCTATTTTTCGTCTTACTCCGCCTCCCTGTTGACCATCACGATTCCTTTTCTCATCATGCCCGGCTCGTTCAATTTCTTGTAGGGTTTGTTTTTCCTGTTTCTTTTCAGGATCAGAAATCAGCAAGATGCAAGCCATCAAGTGTGTGGTTGTCGGTGACGGCGCCGTCGGTAAGACGTGCCTGCTCATCTCGTACACGACCAACGCCTTCCCCGGCGAGTACATCCCTACCGTCTTTGACAACTACTCGGCCAACGTCATGGTCGATGGCAAGCCCATCAACCTTGGCCTCTGGGATACCGCCGGTCAGGAGGATTACGATCGCCTCCGCCCCCTCTCCTACCCCCAGACGGACGTTTTCCTCATTTGCTTCTCCGTCATCAGCCCCGCCTCCTTTGAGAACGTTCGCGCAAAGGTGGGTCGTCTGGATTCTCTCTTGCTCTCATCATGTCTCGTCCGAGCATGGCCGCGCCATCAGTCCAGCTGGCGTGGTGCTGCCTACCGCGCTCTTCGCCACTCACCTCTGCATATCCATCCAATCCTTTGCAGTGGTACCCCGAGGTCAGCCATCACTGCCCCCAGACCCCCATCATTCTTGTTGGTACCAAGCTCGATCTGCGCGATGATAAGGATGCTATTGAGAAGCTCCGTGAGAAGAAGCTCCAGCCCCTGACCTACCCCCAGGGTCTTCAGATGGCCAAGGAGATCAATGCTGTCAAGTACCTCGAGTGCTCAGCCCTCACCCAGAAGGGCCTCAAGACGGTCTTTGATGAGGCCATTCGTGCCGTCCTTAGCCCGCCCAAGATCACCAAGAAGCGTTCGGGATGCATGATCCTCTAATCGACCTGCCCTGTTACTTGTCGTTCATGCCCCCTCCCCTTTTGTTTTTCGTGTTCTTCCTTTCATGACTGGCTTCCGTTGCTGTGTCGTTTTCTCGGAAAGTCGTTCCTTCGCTACTCGCATCCCACTCCTTCTTTCTTACAGCCAGTTCTTGTCTTGTGGCTCCATGCTTTCTGTGTATGGTTTGTTTGTTTTTCTTTTTCTTCTTTTTTTTTGCATGGTCCACGGCAAAAAAAAAAATGCCCAACTTAAACGTGTCTGCGGTGCAGCACCCTGGCACGACGGCTTGATCCCTTGATCACCGGTCAACACACTGATGTCTTTCTTGCTTCTCGGATGCTCCTGAGCAATCGTCTTAGGTCTCGCGACGAAGAGTCTCGTGTGTTTTTACTTTCCCCTTCATCGCTTATTCCTCTCCGCCCCTCTTGTATTGCTCTTGTGTGTTACTCTTTTTGTGCTCGTGGATTGGAATCAAACCGTCAAAATGCCAGCGCGCTCTGTCAAATTTGTCACAACTCAGGCGAGCGGGGACTTTGCACGCAAACAGATACGAAGAAAAAAAAAGACAAATCAGGGCTCAAATCAGGGTTCCTCACACTGCCTTGATACATGAGGCAGATCAAACCACCAAAAAACTACCCACATCTACTCGTTTCACCCACGTTATGCATTGTACCCGTAGTCCTGAGGAGTGTTGAGCAGCATCGTGTGGTCCAGACTTTCATCTCCACTTGGTCGGCTCACATCTCCACCAGCCCCGCCCTTCATAAACACACCCGGGGGTGTAGAGGGTGTTTGTAGGCCGGCGGCCGCAGCTGCAGCTGCGGCTGCGGCAGCCGCCGATGCGCTACCGGTGCTTGAAGTTGTGGCTCCAGCACTGCCGATGGCACCGTACGTGCTCTTGCCCAAAAACTCTGGACTCAGAACAAGGAGGCCCTGCGAGGTGGGGGTGAAAGAGAACGACCGAGGGTGATTCCATGAGACGATGGGTCCTCACTCCTCCTTTCCGCATGTTAGCCAGAGACAAGCAAACCAACTCACCTCCTCGCCGAGCCTCTCGACCAGCCAGATGAGCAGCTCGTCCATGAGGAGTCGCAGCAGGTTGAACGAGCCAAATGAGAGAGCTGAGCGTAGCGTTAGATCGCGGATCACCAGGCCGCTGAAAAAGCCCCAGCGCAACATGAATTGCTTGCCCTATTATATTCCGAAAGACAAGCGCCGAGAATGGTCATCCCACCACCCGAGACGGTCAAGCCTGAACCAGGCACAAAAGTGGCTTTTGAAATTCAAGCACGCATGACAACATACCCGAGCCGTTGGATGCACAGCGCCCGCGACAAAATCACGCAGCTTGTGCTGAACCAAGGCTGCCCACACTTGAAGTGATTCCTAGAACACGCACAGCAGAGAACCAACCGTGACGAGGCCGCCAAAGCTTGCCATGGAAAAACAGAAAAAAAAAAGAAAAAAAAAGAAAAAAAAAAAAAAAAAAAAAAAAAAGGCGCAGCAGTTGTTTCCAACAACACGAGTGCAGCATACCTCATTCTCCAAGAGCGACAGCACCTCGGATACAATCAGGCTGACCGTGGCCTCTTGGCATTCACAGGTCATGGCCAGTTGCGACTATTGGGCCAACAGGCACGGGGGAACCAAACGGGTCAGACGAAGAGCATGCCACACAACATATGGCCGGGAAAGATGGTTGATGTTGACATAACCACGGGCTGAGCTCGTCGACCAATGGAAAGATGAACTGACATGCAGTGCCAAAACGTCAAGAGAAGAGAGATCTTGCAGCATCTGATACATCTGCAGCAACAAAGCACATCATCACCAGTTGAATGAGCTTGTGAAAAAGCCGAACCACAAGACACGAGGTTGGAACGCCAAGGTGAGGCGACTGCACAAACCTGGTCTGAAGAGTCAAAGATGGCCGAAACAGCCTGTGCATGACAAAAAGAGCGCAAAAGGAGGAGGGGGTTTGAAACGTGAGCACGAGATAACAGAGCCAGTTGCAGGGCAGAAGCGATGATGACAAAAGCGAACAAACAAAAAGCCTAAAAAAAAAAAAAGGAAAGAAAAAAAAAGGGAAAGAAAAAAAAAGGGAAAGAAAAAAAAAAAAAAAAAAAAAAAGAAGGCCAATTGCAACGCACGCCAGCCAAGTGATTGAGAGAGGTGAAGCGTCGAAGGCGTAGGGCCAGCGTGTGATACTTTTCCAACCGCGCATCCACCAGCTTGAGATTGAGGCCATCCATGGCCGTCTGCAAAAGGGAAGGGGGGAGAGTTTGGAGGGGCCAAAATGTGAGAAGTTGACGAAGCAGGCACGATATGCGAGTCAAATGAAAGCCAACAGACGGGTGACGACGGACCCGAAGCCAAACGTCAATGCACTTGGCGAAAAAGCGAAGTTCCTTCAGCAATTCTTCGGGCAAGGGCTTGAGCACGTCACGGATAATGGCCTAGGCATGACAGCGACATGATCGTGTTATGACTCGGCCACGAGCAACAGCAGGCATGGGGAAGCGAGCGAGGCGGGGGCTGTGGCATTACCTGCTGAAGTGCTTGAATGAAGATATCGTCAGCTTGTAGAACGTTTTGTACGCCGGCAGGTGAAGCCAGAATGGTCTTGAAATGGACGGCAATGGTGCCCCAAAATTGGTTCCACTGTTCCTGGATGGCTTGAAAGTCGCCGGCAATGACAGTCTGCAAGACCTTGGCACAGTGCGCATGGTAGGGCTTGCTGAAATCGTTGGCACCATCGATGCCTGCAAAGAAAGAGGTCAAGGTAGTGGGGAAAAGGAGCATGTCGTGTGAGGACCACCAAGCCACCAGGTTTGCAGAAGCGCCGCTTATTTCAAGCATCAAACGGGTAGGGGACAATGGGCGGGAAGCGGATGGGGATTGCGACCTTGGGCTTGGAGTGAGGGAAAAGGCGGCAGGGTTACGCGAGCAAAAACGCCGGCAAATTTGCCCGGGGAGGAAGCCTCGGCGTTACGCGGGCTGGAAGGAGCCTCGGCTTTACTGCTAGGACCAGCGGCATCTCGAGCTTTGCTGGCACGCGTGCTGGATTTGCGCTTGGTAGTGGTTGGAGCTGGTGTGCCTGTGTTAGAGTTTGATTCATCCTGCAAAGGTGCGGGCAGGGGGTGGACCCATTTCGGAGCCCCCTCAAAGGGTAAGCAGGGCTTCTTCGAGTACCAATACCATGCGTGTTCAGACGAGAAGACGAATGGTGACTGAAAAAAAAAAAAAAAAAAAGGAAGGGCCTGACCTTTGTTTTCCGGGTTTTGGTGTGAGCGCCACCGATTTGTGTGGGGTCAAAATCGAGCTTGGTTGACTCTTTCAAGCGGATGCCGTAGTAATGGTATTTGCTGTTGCCTCGCGTCCCGAGGCGGCGGGTCTAGGCGCAAGCATCAGGCTGAGTGCGCAGCGTGCTTTGGGATCTGCGCACTGAAACGGCGGTTGGTGTGCAAACAGCTTGTCAAGACTGACCTTGAGGTTTGGGAAGACGCTGCGAATGAGCTTGCCAAAACTTGCTTGGTTGACGGGCTCTTGGTTGAGCTGAGGAGCAAGGTATATTGAATTGGGGCAAAGCAGGTGCATTGAAAACTCGTGAAGTGAGGTACCAGCAACGTTGTGGGTGTGTGTGTGAGGGAAGAAAGGGTCGGGGTGTGAACGTGAATGAAGACTTTCTTGGCACTCGGGGCACGAACCGTTTTGCAATGCTCAATGTAATGAGCAAAGAGGGGTTCGCGGCCAAGGGAGGTGTCATCGCAAGCTTCAAAGTTCTCGTGAAGCCAGACGACGGTGGCTGGCGAGGTGCGGCTGATGTTGTGTGAATAAGGGTTGCTCTAAATGGGTGCGGGCCGGGCAGACGAGAGGGAGAGGAACGAGGGGGAATAAAAGCGCGGGTAAGGACGGGATAAGAAGTAGTCTATGCAGATAAGGGGGGGTTGAGTATGTCTACTCAGAGGGTTGCACGCATGTGCGCGCGTTTGTGGATGTGTGTGTACGCACGAGCATGCGGCCGGGAGCGGCCACCATGGCTGGGGGCATGGTGGTGCCGCGATAGGGCATGCCGTAGGGGGCGGTCACGTAGCCACCCCCGTACGGGGGGCGAGTGTAACCGTAGGAGGTGGGCATGTAGGAGACTATGGGGGCTTTGCTGGTGGGTTGACCCATCGGTGCCTGGCTCATGGGGGGAGCTGCAGAGGGAGCGATGGGGCGCCCCCCCATGGTGGCTCCGGGTGCCATGCTATTGGCGGGGAGGGGCTGGGCCATGCTGCGCGGCGGAGGATGCCCGGCGCCAGTGCTGGCAACACCACCGGCGGGTGGCTGTGGCGTTGCCATGTTACTCTGGATGTGAAATGAGCGGCACTCAAGCAGCCAAAAGCATCGGATGCTCCAAGAGGCGAGGGGGTTCAAGGTGGGCTGCGCGTTGGCACAAAGGCCTCGCTCGACTCGCCTCCACGCCGCTGTAGCGATGCAGAAGCGCCCTTGCGCCGATTAAGGTATTGCCAACCGTCAGGATCCGAACGCAATCGAACCAGGATCCCACGACGTCTTCCTGGAACGGATCCCTGCGCAGGGTTCCGCTTGGTCAAAGTGCGTGTTCGACGAGAGAAACCAAGAGACGTGTCTGCGATGAACGGCGCCGTTCCAATAACAACAACAACAACAACAGGATGAGCGGTTGTCAAAGCGAATCCAAGGGTAAGCAGAGCTAATCAGCGCATGCACACGGGGTACACAACGGGTCCAAGTGCCTGCCAGAGAGCGTGCGTGACCCGAAAAAAAAAAAAAAAAAAAAAAAAAAGAGAGAGAGAGAAAAAAAGAAGAAGAAGAGGGGCGGCGGGAAGCAGAGTGGCCTTGTCACGATGCACAAGACAACGAGTGTATCGGGGCATGGCGAGCAAGGGAGGGGTAGAGGTGGTCTGTCAAGCAGAACGAGCAACCGAGTTGCGATGCCATCTGCCCTTCTGCCCCATCGATGCGATTCAAGGCTTGCCCCCCCGCCAGTCTCGTTTCACGCCCCACGCTCCCAACTCAAACCACAGCCACAGCCAGCACCAGAAGCATGCCAAGCAACCTTGTACACAGATCCCATTGAACAGGCACGGCAAGCCGTGTCACCACCACCGCCAGCACGGCAGCGCTGCCATATCTCCTGCCTTCATCCCGTCCGCAATCACTTACCCGTTACACACACACACTTGAACGGAAAAAAAAAAATTCAGAGAGAGAGAGAGAGAGGAGACAGATACAGAGACAGAGACAGAGAGAGAGAGAGAGAGAGAGACAGAGAGAGACAGAGAGAGAGACAGAGAGAGACAGAGAGAGAGAAAGTTTGAGAGAGAGAGAGAGACAGAGAGAGAGACAGAGAGAGACAGAGAGAGACAGAGACAGAGAGAGACAGAGAGAGACAGAGAGAGACAGAGAGAGACACGCACACACACAAAGAAAACAGTCAAAAAAAAAACACAGAGAGTATTGGATAATGGTAAAATTAACGCAAGAATTAAGCTTGAAATACATAGGGAATCAGAGAGAGGGTGTCCGTTGGGATCTGTTGAGAGAGTGAAGCGTCAGCATGACGCAAAGGCGGACAAAGACGTCGTGTTCGCGTCGAGCGTGATGGCAGCGTGATGGCAGCGTAATGGCAGCGTGATGGCTGGAGCAGACGCTGCTGAAAGAAGACCATGAGTCGTCACGTTCACAGCTACAGGGATCGAAGGATGGGTTTGCTACTGACAGGTCAGGGCCGACCCAGGGTGTCTGTGCCGGTATCGGACAAGTTTGGATGAAGAGGTCCGCAAAAGTCCTTGGTCGCCAGACGCGTGGGAGGGTTGTGGCAGACCCGGGAAACATCACCTGCGTCTGTACACCCCCGACACAGGTATACACTCGCACCGATCCTCACACGCACCTTCATATGCGCGCACACACAACGCACTCAGCGGCGGTCCACCTGCGTATATTATGCTTGTATGGCCAGTTCGTCCCCTAAGGATCTCCAGCATGCACAAGGTGCTTTATTGCCTCGACGCAAACGCCAGAGGCATGTGCTGACTCGCTCGTTCTCTCTCGCCCAAGACTCTTCCCTCGCCTCTGCCACGCTTTGCCAGCAGGGGGATGCCACTGGTGCTCCCATAGCACCGTGCTTGCTGGCATTCTTGCTACGATTCGCGCCTGGTTTCCTCCCGCCTCGCTGGCCTCGCCCCCCAAACGGCTCAAATCCACTTGCACCTCACTTCAACCTTGATCAATGCCTCTTTTCCTCCTCCTTTGGCCCCCACCTTTGGCACCCAGTCTCGTCCGCTGCCCTGGGCGTGTGTCTCCTGCTGCTTGTGCCTTTAGCTCTCAAATGGGCGTATCCCTTGCCGTATCTCTCTCTTTCTCTCTGTATCTCGCTCTCTCCCTCTCTCTCTCTCTCTCTCTCTCTCTCTCTCTCTCTCTCTCTCTCTCTCTCTCTCTCTCTCTCTCTCTCTCTCTCTCTCTCTCTCTCTCTCTCTCTCTCTCTCTCTCTCTCTCTCACTGTATCTCTGTATCTCCGTGTCTCGCTGCATTCCGCCTGTATCTGCCTGTATCTGCCTGTATCTGCCTGTATCTGCCTGTATCCGCCTGTATCCGCCTGTGTCCCTCTGTATCCCTCTGTGTATCGCCCTGTGTCCCTCTGTGTCCCTCTGTATCCCTCGATATATCTCTGTATAGCTCTGAATAGCTCTGTATCCCTCTACACATCTCTGTACAGCACTGTGTCCCTCGATATATCTCTGTATAGCTCTGTATATCTCTGAATAGCTCTGTGTCCCTCTACACATCTCTGTCTAGCCTCTGTTACCTCTCTCTCTCTCTCTCTCTCTCTCTCTCTCTCTCTCTCTCTCTCTCTCTCTCTCTCTCTCTCTCTCTCTCTCTCTCTCTCTATCTATCTCTCTCTCTGTAACGGAAGATTCCGATAGGGGACAGAAGATGAATCGTTATCCGATCATTTCTATTTCAGAATCAATTCAGATTTGAGCAAAATAAGAATCTTCCGATCAAACGGCAGCCCCGTCCCGCCCTGCAGTGGAACAAGAGAATGAGCTGCGTGCCTCTAAACCAAGCAGATCCACTGGCCGAGCGCCTGAACGGCCTTGAGATCAAGACCCGAGCACCGTTGTTTGAACCGACTCTCCGCTGTCTCTTTTGATAGTGACCGTTATTTTTTTTTTCCTGTTTTTTCGTTTTTTTCAGTTTTTTTTTTCGTTTTTTTCCAGTGTTACGAGCAGAAAGAGCAAAAAACTGTTGCGAGCGACGCGACGACCCGGAAGCAAGACTGGCGACGGTAGAGACAGCCCTCGAGACCACCGAACAAGGAACAACACCCTCCCCCGCGCCCCTTTGACGCACGCGGTGGCAGAGATGGGTTGAAGACCGGGCGGCAAGGACACAAAACGAGATGGCGCGATCCGTGCCGCGACGTCGTGGCAACATGGGTCAATTTGCCCAGCAATCCACCTTGAGCGGTTGGCTCCAGCCGCCTGGCCCCCCGAGCAACTCGGCATCATCTGGCTCTTCCCTCCCCTCTTCTTCGACCTCTGCCGCCGCCGCTGCCGCCGCTGCTACCCCTGCTTCTCAAGCAGAGCGTGTCAGCAGGACCAAACCGCCGCTGCCTGCGGCACAGGAGGAGCCGGCTGAAAAGCGGGCTCGGCACGTTGCTTTCGAAGCATCCTCGCCTTCCTCGCTGACAGCGACCATCGATCCCAGTGCAAACACAGCTGCTTCCACCACACCCTCCCCGGTACTACTAGACACACCCTCGGTCTGCACGCCCGATAAACCCGAGCCTGCAATCCCACAGACCTTGAGCGACCCCACCCCCATCACGCTAGCCCCGCACCCGGCTCCTGCTTCGGCACCACCGGCATCATCTGCATCCACACCCGCCAGCGAGTCCGCGACTCGGAATGTGCCCCCGAGCGCCAAACGAAAATATGCCCCCTTCAAGGTGCTCAACTGCCAGACCACCTTTTATCTGCACAGCGAACTGGGCCACGCGCAGGGTAGTCGGCCCGTGACCACCAACCTCTATCTATGCGCTCACCCAGCTGGGCCAGCGAGGACTAGCCGCAAGGTTGAGCTACGCCGCGTCACCAAACTTGCTGGATGCCAAACTTGGACCGTCAGCCAAAACCACGTCGAGCACGTCTTTGCCAAATTTCGACAAGAAGGCCGATGCACCATCCGCCTCCGCCAGCCACCCGTCGACCTAATCGTCTCCCACGCCAATCCCTCTGCCCTCTCGGGCTTTCTCGACTCTCTCTACGCGGTATGTACCTCCACCCGCGTCAACACCTGTACGCTCTCTCTCTGGCGAGCACACGGTTCGGCCCCGTCAGTATTTTGCCCCATCTTAATATAAACAACACTGCGCAGGTCCACACGGGCGATGAGGCGATTGACCTGCCCAGTCCCGGGCGCCTGAACGAACTGACCAAGGAAGGCAAGGTATGTCTCATCTTTGCTGTTGCGTTTTATTTTATTTTTATTTTTTCCTTTTTTTTAAAAATCCAACCCGGTCACGCCTCTTGTCGCTCTCTCATTATGTGAATCCTGTGTTTGTCACTTGACTCTGGCATGACCTCTTGCTCCAGGACACAGAGGCCATGGTCAAACGGCTGCGTGTAAGCCGCGGCCAAGACATACCACGCGTTCTACCCCCAAATCTACGATCGCTGCACTTGAGTGATCGGGCTCTGAGCAGGCCGCCAGCGCAGATCTTTCGTTGCGCCCACCTTTCGGTCTTGGATCTGAGTCAAAATAAGCTGCAGGTCAGACTTGACCGCCCGTCCTACCGCCCTGCTCAAGACATGCATGCGTGCTGCCATAACGAACCCCTAAATGCACACAAACCTGTGGCCGCATATCCTGTTTTGGTTGCCTGACAGAAAGTACCACTCGAGTTGGAGCTATTACCAGAGCTTCGATCGCTCGACCTCAGTTCCAACGAGATAACGGCCTGGCCTGCCCACCTCGTGCTCCCAACCCTGCAAAGTTTGATGCTTAGTTCGAACAAGTACGATTTTCTTTTCTTTTCCTCTTCTTGTTGTCTCCGCTCGGCTTCCCTTGTGGTTCACCGCCGCTCACAATGGGAACCCTCGTGCGCTCGCAACTAGGCTGGAAACCCTGCCACGCTCGCTTGGACGCTTTACGAACCTTCACACGCTGCATCTCGAACACAATCAACTGGGTTCCGTGCCCACCACCATCGGCCTCCTGCCTCACCTACGCAATCTCCAATTGCGTGGCAATCGCCTGGGCTGCTTGCCAGCAAGCTTTGCCAAGTTCCAAGGCACTCGCCGCCTCGCCCTCTTCTACGGCAGTGGTAAGGCACTGCATGGATTTCAGAAGGAAATACATTTGGCAGGAAAGCAAGATTCAGAAACGCCTCGTTTGTTTGAGCTTTGGTTGATATCTCAAGCCTTGAGATATCTCGCTGGTCCATGTGCCTGGCGATGGTGATGTAGACAATCCCTGGCGAGCTGCTGATGAGGAGGTGCATATTTTGCCCGGAACGGTGCCCTCGCTTTTTGAGGTGCGTGTGCTTTGACGCGCGCGTGGGAGCTGCTGGCTCGCCCCCTTGAGCTCACACGACGTGATTTGCAGCTGGCAGCCCGAGTGGCCTTGCGGGCCGGGGTGTTCCGTAATCAGCGGCAACTCTTGCCCGACGCGTTTCGCAGGTTGGTGCTTCATTCATGCTTCACTGCTTGCAACCTGATCTGAGCGTTGCGATGATGCAAGGCTCATGCCGGGCTGCACGTCGGTTGTTTGCTATTTGGCTCGCAGGTACCTCCGACAGGCCAGTCGCTGCTCAGTGTGTGATCAGCCATTTGTCTTGGGGCACCAGGCATTTTGCTTGGCCCAGCCACTGGAGCAGGTGCGCTTATCCTTCCTGCCCACCCAGGTTTGCTTGTGGGCCCAGAACCATGCTCATGCAGACAGTGTCTTCGCCGGCCCTACGACCTTAGATTGCCCAGCAATTTGTGCACCCTGCCGAAGTGCCTCTGATGTATCGGACTTGCAGCCTGCGCTGCACAGAGAGTGCGTTGGGGTGCCGCGCTGCGCCAGGACCAGGACCAGAGCAGTAAAGTCATCGCGCATCGCGGCTGAAATGACGATAGTAAGCCCTTTATCAATTTCAGTGCACCAGTATCGACAACAACCACGACAGAACAATGTTTGAAAAAACCACAGCATGCATCGCAATGGAAAAAGGGAGGATATTGGAGTCAAAGTAGGAAGAGAGAGATGGCGGGTGGAATGATGAGAACAAGAGGAGGGGGACAAGGAAAACAAACACAAACACAACGCACGGAGCCCAGAGGCCACCATCTTGTCACATCAAAAGAGGACACTGGTACGGTGTCAGAAAGTGAGGACGGTGCTTAGGGCACCGCATGTGGTCTGCATATTTTAGGCGGAACCCGTAAACTTCTGGTAGTTCTCCATGTTACGGCGAAGAATGTCTTCAATGGGGCCAAGGACCCGCTCAAAGGTCTCGCGATCAAGCTTGACACATTTGACCTCACCCTTGGCAGTGACGGTGGCGTGGCGCTTGTTGTCCTTGAGCAGAGCAATCTCGCCAAAGTAATCGGCTGCACCCAGCTCGCCGACCTGACCAGACTCGCCCTTGTCGTTGCTCTGTGGGGCGTGGGGAAGCGGACATGGCGAGGCAGAGCACACGCCGATACAAGGAAAAGAGCCGGGGGAAACCATGAGGGGCAGAGGAGAAAAAAAAAGGCTGGGCTGGGGCTCGAAACGCACCTGTGTGACGACGGCAGTACCCTCGACAATGATGAAAAAGTCATCACCTTCGTCGCCCTGCTTGACAATGTTGGTTTCATCGGCAAAGGTGCAGGGTTCGAGGGCGTCGGCCACCTGGAGACGCTCGTACTTGTCGACGTCGGCCAGGATCTGGACCTTCTCGAGGAAGGTTTCGTACATTTTGCGCTTACGGATGGTGCTACCCATGAGGATGCGGCGGTATGTGTCCTGATCGAGGGCCCAGAGCTGGACGTCCGTCTTGGCCTTGACGGTGGCAGCACGAGGCTGGTTGTAGATGAGGGCCAGCTCGCCAAAGCTGCCCCCGGTGGTGAGCTCGAGGACCATCTTGGACTCGTCGGCGCCGTCGTCCTTCTTCCAGACCTCGAGTTGTCCGGCATCAACGACGTAAAAGTTGTCACCCTCATCGCCCTGGGTGATGATTTCGGTACCGGCCTGCTTCTTGATGAGGAACATGGCGTCGAGGACCTCGGTCAGCTCCTCGCTGTCGAGGTGCTGGAAGAGGACGTTGTCCGAGACGGCCTTTTGCAGGCGCAGCATGGTGGGGGCATCCTTGCGAATGACCTTGCGCTGGTAGTCCTCGACGTCGTCCTCCGTCATGACGCTGGCACTAATGGCGGCACGGCGCGAGCGGCCGCGGCTGATGGGTCCGGCATCGGCCTCTGTGTGTTGACAAAGTCGGGCGATGCCGCATGTGAGAGAGAGGTGTAGGAATATCAGAGGAGTCAACGAAGAGGCAAGCGATGTTGAGATGCAGGGTAGGAAAGAGGGGGTTGGTGAAAAAACAAAATTCTTCTTGTTGTCTTCACCAGGTCGAGATGGCGGTTTTGCTGGACGGGACGGGACAGGACAGGACAGAACAAGACAAACCTTCTTCTTCTTCTTCGTCGTCTTCGACGTTGGTGCCGCGCTCGCGCTGCAGCTGAATCATGTAGTTTTTGATAAAGTCAAGTTCATCATCGGGCTTGTCCACGCAGAGCTTCACGACAATGTCCTTGAGCAGAGATTCGACATTGTGCTCCTTGAGATAGGCTTGCAACTCTGCCTCGGTCTCAGCCATGGTGGTGGTTAAGGGGGGAGAAAAAAAAGCAAGAGAGGAATGGGGCTTGAGCGATCAAGGCCTTGAGAGTGAAGAGCAATGTCCTGTAAGCCAAGCAAGACAAGAGACAAGCAGGTCAGCAGACGAGGTTGGCAGCAGTTTTCGCGTTGGCAAGGCACCCCAAGACAAAGAAAATCAGCGTAAAAGGGAGAATAAAAAAAAAAAGAGAGAAGAACAACAGAAACAACACGATGTGTATGTGAGTGTGTGTATGTGAGTGTGCGAGTCAAAAGTGAGGAAAGCCCCGGGCATCGCATCAAAGCAATGGCAGAGCCGGGAGAATTGAACAAAGAGGAGGGATACGGGAAGAAACGAGATTGTACAGAGGGAGGGTTTAATCTGAAGCACTGCCAGCGAGCGACCTTGCGCTGGCACGCACGCATATGCACGCACACACGCACACACATGACAACGATAAAACAAAGAGAGCGCGCGAGAGCGAGAGAGAGCGGGTGGCAGGTGGCAACCATGCGCAGCTTGGAGATGAGGGCCTCAACCACCCAAAACATGGTCACGCATGGCCAACAACTTCATCCACGCCTTCTCATCACCCCCGATCAGCATCTGTGGGGTGTGCCCGTCTGTGTGCGCGTGCGTGTGTGTGTGTGTGTGTGTGTGTGTGTGTGTGACCTCCGACAGACAGAGAGGCAGAGCGACAGAGCGACAGAACGACAGAGAGACAGAGAGACAGAGCGACAGGGAGAGCGAGAGAGCGCGCGCACGAGCGAGAGATACAGCGGGACAGAGAGCGAGAGAGCGACAGAGAGCGACAGAGAGAGCGAGAGAGCGAGAGGGAGGAGGAGCACCAAGACGAAATCGATGGCAACTCTGCTTCAAATCGGGTCAACAGTCCCGGCCGAGGCAAAGTCCCACAAAGACAGCCACACACAGCAGGCACTGTGCAGGCACTGTGCAGTGGCATGCACTCACTCGCTCACTCACGCACTCAGACACACAGGTGAGAAAAGAAAAAGCAAAGCAGGCCCTGTGCAGTGTGTGCGCAGTGCCATGCCAGTGTACAGGAGTGCCAGCTTACTTGGACAATAAAAAGTGCTGCTCTCTCTCCCTCTCTCTCTCTCTCTCTCTCTCTCTCTCTCTCTCTCTCTCTCTCTCTCTCTCTCTCTCTCTCTCTCTCTCTCTCTCTCTCTCTCTC